TCAAGTACTTTTACGAGTACGTGGAAATGTGCATAAAGACTGCTTTCGGTAATAACAAATTCACATTGAAGAAAGCTAAAACAGCTTGCAAGAAGAAAGACAAGAAAAATACATTTCGCCACGATTGCTATGCAAGAAACAAGATTTTGCATTATTCTTTGGTGTGTACCAGTGTGCTCATAGATCAATCTCTCAACATTGAAATAACTGGTGAGACAACACAACAGTCTGGTTAAATTGCGCGAGCAACAAGTAAGCGATACGTAGTTGGGCCAGGATGAAAGCCTCCAACCGCTAAAAGCATCTAAGCTAGCCAAGGTGAGCATTTCCTAAATATATCATTTCATTTCTCGTGTATTCGAAGGTTCACTCAGGATAGCCGTCGCTCAAGCGAAGCATTTGGGTCTAGAACTTTCAAAATTACAAAATTTAACAAGTAGTTTTCCCCAATAGGTTTACTGATTTCTTCATAATCATAATCTGGAGCAGTTTGTTGAAATTTGCGCTACAAATGGGCTGGTTGCTGGGAGGGCCCCAGAGATTGCGTGAATATTAGCCCAGCATAATTGTCTCATATCTCATTGTAACGGCAAATTAAAATGGAGCTGTAAAGCATACTGTATCATTTTTCCCCAAATTGGGAGATCACAAGCATTGTGGGAATGAATTGCATACATCATATCAAAAAACCAGTCGTAAACAGCGTAACCTACATCAGGCAGCTCCATTTTGCAAGTCTGCTCCCCTCGGAAGGTTGCTCGCCATGATTTCTCATAGCAAAGGGTCCGCTCAGTGACAGAAGACAGTCTACAAACATGATGGGTACATTTTTGTGTTTCAGAGAGGAATATGTTCCTTTGGAAGATATCTGGCCGGATCGAATAGATGTCTTCACATTGTTATGTTCGGTAAAGTGATGACTATTAAAGGTTACCCAGCAGTTGCATGATCACACAGATTACGCTGGTAGTTGTAATCATATTAATGGCTTATTGGATGGGAATGCTATGCTATCGGACGTTCAAAAGTGAAAGGATCAGCGGTGGTAGAGGCTAGTGACTCGCTTGATGCCTTTATTGTATTTAAAGAAGTCTTAATTATTCAAGCTGCGGTAGTAGATGAGCT